CTATTCTATATTATATTCTATTCTATATATTATATATAAATATAATATATATTAAATATATATTATATACACAATATTATATATTAATATATAATATATATATAAAATATATTTTATATCTTTTATATTCTATTTTATATGATATAATATTCTATGAATTATATTATAAGAAATTATATATTAAAACTATACTAAAGAAAGAGAAAGGCTGCATCAGAAGGCTCAACAAGAATGAATAATAAAAACCCATGACTGACCAGAGAGTCTGACACAACTGGACTGGGATTGGTCATTAATTAAAAACAATTCACATGTTGGGTAAACAATTCTCCAAATCACATTCCAGAGGAGCAAAACATGGAGAAGCTGAGGCTTCCCATCTTGCCAGGAGAAGAAATCCTGGTGAAGGGATTTTTCAGACAATATCACTGTGACACACAGAGGGGCACCCCAGAGCCCACCCTGGCCCTGCTGCTTGTTCCTGCTGGCCAGGGCACGTGGGGACGTGACCTCACTTCCTGCTCACAGCCTTCTAATTAATTTCCTTCTGTAATGGTTAATTGCTGATTGTGAACAGTCTAGGGAAAAAAAAAAAAAAGCAAAATGGGATGATATCATCTCTTCCTGCTGTTTTGGAGATAGCATTGTGTGCCACCTCCCTGTGCAACCTGTGGCAATAAAAAATGTAAATGCTAAATTTCTTATCGAGACAAGGCAGAAACTCTGTTGGATTTGTATTTCCTGTCTTTGATTTGCTTTGCTTTATTTCATCTCATGCCTGCCTCTCCTCCTCCCCTCCAATGTTAATGTAGCATTCCATGCTCACCTGGGAGATGTTATCACTTGAAGGCAAAGCAGTTTCTGCCTTGTTAAGCTATTTTCAAGCCTGTCATGATGCTCCATAAACTACAGAAATAGGAAGATTTTCCTCTATGAGTGACTTGGTGGTTTTCTGTCTGTTTCTGATGGCAAAAATGTGGTGCCTGGAGAGGGCAGGGGACAGACTGAGGGTGAAGCTGTAGGGACTGTGCCATGTCTTAGTTCCTTTTAGGCTGTGGCAGTGCTCAGGGACTCTGCTGCAGGTGCCATGAGTGTTTGAAGTCCTCCAGTGGGGTCATTTTTCCTTCAGGTCTCTTGGGAAGAGTAACCTGCAGTTTCTGCTCTTTGGGCAAAGCAGGGTGTGAACAAAGGTGCTGCAGCAGAAAGATGCCTTTCTGGTAAAGCCTGATGTGGGATTTTATGTAAGGGAACAAAAACACACAGAAAAATCACTTCCAAATTAAGTTATTTCTCCTGCAGGGTAATTATTAATCAATAAACCTTGTGTCTCTCAGAGTGTGCCAAGTGCTCTGAGCTGCCTCACAGTGTGCTGGTAAACCAGTCCTGGAGGGAAAATGTTATTAACCCTAAAGCATGATTAGCTCTGAAAGCAGCAGAGTCACAAGTCTTGCCTCTGCCATGCAGCAGCAGTTTTGCCCTGGCAGGGTTTGGTGGCACCCCCAAAGCTGTGGGTGTTGTGCATCATTTGTGGCAGCTGGATGGTGTTTGGGCCAGAATGCATTTCCTGCATTAAACAGAAGGTCTGCACAGTTGATTATTTCTCCAAAAACATGTTTCAGATGGATTCTAATGCTGCAAGGCTGAGATGGATGATTACTTGTAGAAGGAGAGGGGGATTTTACCATTGAGCTGTTTCATAGATGACCTCTGAAAATGAAGAGCTCCGTTCCATGAGGCATCTCTTCTGTGTATTGATGAAGACAAAGCAAGAGACAGGACACAGCTTTAATGTAAATAATAATCGCTCTGTTCCTGTGGACCCCTTAGATCTGATGTTAATGCACAGACAGGGGACAAATCAAAATGCAGAAAAGGTGCTGAAAACCAGGAGTGTTTCCAATAGGGATCTGTAAGATATTGTAAGGAGGTTCTGGGGTTTTCTTGCAGAAGTATTTAATGAGATGTTCTCGGTCTTCTTCAAGAGGAGCTTGGTTCAGGGCTATTTACTGTGCCCGTTGCATTTCAACATTTTTCTTTGAAAACATGTTTTTAAAGCAGCAAACCAAGAGCATTCCTCCTTGAACTCTTTAGGATAAAAGTACTGTCAAAGGTATTTAAGTGTTGTCTGCAAATAATATCCACCCTGGGGTACAGCAAAGTCTCAGAGCCTAAGGACCATGGGATAAATGGAAATATTTCCTTCTAAGGTCTTGCCTTTGGTCACATAAAAAGAGGAAAAAGCCAAACCAAAACATGAACTCCCTTTGAAGCACTCATTTATAAAGGCATTGTGCCAGTGTGGTTGCATCAAGAGACTTCAGACAATAAAACCACTGTCACTTTGTTGTTGGCATCTCTGAAAAACGAGGTAGAAAAGTGTTATTGTACCTGTTTGTCCTTCCACATTCACGGTGCTGTATTGCTGCATCGTGGAACAAGTGTTAAGCAGCTGATAACTTCCACTTCACCACAGATCCCAGCAGTCATTAGCAGAGGAAATTCTGGAGCAGGTTTGTCACAACTGTGGCTGCTTTGTGCTGCTCAAACAACACAGGAGAGCTCCAGAGAAGCAGGTTGAATGGAGAACTTGGGAAATCACTGCTCTGAGTGGCCTCCTGTGGGCCCGGGATGGAGCTGCTGGCAGGAACATGCTGCATCCCACAGCTCATCCCTCCCAAAACAATCCCCTTGGATGAGCTGGTGAGGTTCAGATGCTGCTGACGCACTCGGTCCTTCCCTTCCCAGGCACTCACAGAAAAATGTGACACTCCTGGAGCTCTGGGGCCCATGTGCATTATCATCAGGAATTTTACAGGCACTTTCAAGGCAACTGGGAGAGATTGAATACAGAGAGTGTCTCTGTTAGCAAAAAAAATAACCCAACCAATATCAGAGGTGGCTTCTTCCAAGTCAGGATGACATCTTGTGCAAATCAATTTGTCACCAGCCCCAGCTTTCTGCAGTGGAAGTCAGGATTCTTGTGAGACCTGAAGCTGGTTTTGGCACTTACTACTGGATGGTAAACAAGCTCATCCTCCAGTCTGTTTGGAATTCACAGCAAAAAAATGGGTGTCTGTTCTCACAGCCAATTCTTTCCACCTATGGTCCAGGGTGAATGCAGAACACACACATTTGCACACAATCCCTCCCCAGACCTTCTGCTGCAAAAGTTCTGCTTCTCAAGTGTCCTTGAGAGGAGATGGGGGGAGCAGAAATGGTTCTGTAGCTCAGGGTGTGGGTATGAGGGTTTCTGGCTCATGGAGGTTCAGGCAGCTCTGTGCTGGCAGGTTCTGTTTTTGCAGGGATCCCTGTGGCAGGAAGGAATGATGCCTCTGACTGCATGTTCTCAGAAGGTTAATTAATTATTTTATGATACTATATTAAATTAAAGAATACTATACTATACTAAAGGATACAGAAAGGATACTCATAGAAGGCTAAAAAGATAATAATAAAAATTCATGACTCTTTCCAGAGTCCTGACACATCTTGGCCCCAATTGGCCAAAGTGACCACTTTGTTTTCACTCTGGAGTGAGTGAAAACAACTCACACCAGAATCCAATGAGACAATCACCTGTGGGTAAACAATCTCCAAACACATTCCACATGTGAGCACAACACAGGAGAAGCAAATGAGATAAGAATTGTTTTCCTTTTCTCTGAGGCTTCTCAGCTTCCCAGGAGAAAATCCTGGGCAAAGGGATTTTTTCAGAGAATGTGAATGCCACAGGCAGGGCTGTGGTGCTGATGCAGCAGGAGCAAAGAGAGCTCTGGGTTTGGAGGTAGCCCAGCCTGAACAACAGGGCTGGCACTGACAGCAGCTCTTCTGTTTGCTGGGGTCTCTGCAAACAGATCAGACTGGCCCAGAGTTGGGATTTTCTGTGTGGTGTTCACCGTTATGGTGGTGAACCTTTCCAGCCCAAACATGGCCCCAGCTGTGCTGTGATTTTGAGGAAGCTGCTGTTTTTCTCCACGAAGACTGAGGAATAGAAATGTTATAAAATGCTGTGGTAGGTATCATTTCTATGTAAAGTGCTCTGAGGTTTCTAGAAGCCCCTCCAGTTGTGCTTTGCAATAAAATTTGATTGTGCTCAGGATGCTCCTAAACTGCATTGGTTTGTGTGCTGAGGCAAGCTGAAATTGGATAAACTTTTTCATTCTGGGGAGAGTTATAGCCTGGGTGTTGTAAAGGTGGGAAAGGAGTGTTGTCTTGTGCTCCAGATAACATTGTGAAGAAAAACAAGTGGCAGAAATTATGGAAGCACCAGTGGAACAAATAAACAAATCAAGTTTTTTTCAGTGCCTCTCATCCAATAGCTCCATCCTCTGAGGATTCAGGCATTTTCAAGGCTGTAGTACTTGCATGTGTAAAAAATAGAATATTGTTCTTTTTTTTCTTTCTTTTTTTTTAGCTTGCTCAATCTGAAAGAGTGCCTGGACAAATGTTCAATCTGCACAGGTGTTTTATGGGTGCTTATCTTGACTTGTGTATTTATGTATTTGTTTATTGTCAGCCATTAGAAAATTAAACTCAAATAAAACATATCCTGTCACATAAAGGCACTTAAACTATTCCATTCAGTTTCATTCCTGCTCTAATCCTGTGAATTCCTGTTAACTTGTGCTAAAATTCCTGTTTTGATCCAGGAGTAAATTTGGTGCATTCTGAGGACTCTTTGAGCCATTCCAGAGCATCAAATTACTCTGCAGCAGCAAAACCAACAAAACCTTCTGGCTCTAGAGAGAATGGAGATGTTCTGGGTCATAAACAATCCTTGCCCTACAGAAGTTTTGAAATACTTGATGTCTTAGTAATTCCCCAGCAAATTAGTGTTTGAAGCATGACATTCTTTAAAATTATGCATTGAAATGATGACAGTATTGTTCCCCAAACCACCTTGCTAAGGTTTCTTACACTTAAAGGCATGCTTGAAAACATTAATTATTAAAGACAAGTCTAAGTGGTTTTTCTACTTGCAGCACGAAACTGTCCAAATATATTCAAGGTTTTTTTTTGAGTGTTCTGACTGAAGCACAGCAGCCCTGCAGCTGGGTTATGCAGATGTGCTGTGAAATCAGGTTGCTCTGCACCTTGACAGAATTTTGTCACTTTTTTTGGCAATGTGATCACATTTTAGAGCATGGGCTTTTGTTTCCTCTTTAAACAGTTCACAGGGAGAAGGAAAGGGAAGGTCTGACTGCCCTTTACTCTGCTGTTCAAGGGTTGTGCAAATATATCCCTGCTCCACTTCCTGGCTGACTGGGAGCTGCAAGGTGGCTGCCCTCACACTGTTGGCTTTTTATTCTGTATGTATAATCTGCCTTGCTTTTCTTTCCCTCTGAATCTGCAGCAGTGGACATGTGAGCCTTGCTGAGGGGATGCTCTGCCCAGGGATTTGTGGGGAATCTAGAACTTCAGAGGAAGAGAAGGCATTGAATGTCAATTGTATAATTGTAATCATTAAGTTATGTTATATTTATGTCACATTTACATTATAACGACTATTTAATTGCCACATTATCTCTTTAACTGACTTTGAGCTCTGTTTTTATTATGTGTCTTTTATTTAAAACCTATTTGGGTAGGTTGAAACATTCTATTCCAGAAATTTCACAGAAGTATTGATATCCTGTGAGTGCCAGAACATCCTGCAGCTGGAATCCTGTCTGAAAAGGGAAAAGTCTCCTCAAAAAAATGTGTGTGTCTCTCTGAGCTGACTGGGCTCACCAGAGTTCTGCTCTTCTCCTGCAGGCATTATGCTGCTCGAGGTGTTCCTGCTCCTGGGGACACTCCTCATCTACTTCTTCTTTTCCAAGAAGAATGAAGAGACACTGCCCTTCAAAGATGGGTGGTGGGGCAGGGGACAAAAGCCTGAGACCAAAGAAGACTCCAGTGTTAGACCATTTAAGGTGGAGACTGCAGAGGAAGAGCTGAGTGTAAGCAAAGCTCTGTGCTGAGGGAAGGGAAGGGAAGGGAAGGGAAGGGAGAAGTGTCCAAATGATGTAGAATGTGTTTGGAAGTAATTTTTAAATTGAACCAACAGGGTGCCAGTGATGGCCAGGTCTTGGGGGAAGGGATTTTTCAGTACTTCAGAAGATAGGTAGGAATAGGCAGATCTCAGTGTATAATTTTGTTCTCTGGCTCTGCATGATTGCTGGTAAATAAATCTACTCTGCAAAGCCTAATAAACATAAAAATCATATTACAGATTACTCAACTCTGTTTTTCTGTTTGTGCATTTTCCTCAGTTTGTGTAGACCAGAATAAGAACAATGTCTTGTTTTTTTCCCCTTTCTTTCCAAAGCAATTACAAATACCTCATTTTCTTGACTGCTTTATGTTTGCAGCTGTGTTGGATGCTGATTCTTCTGTAATTAATAGTCTACTTTGGTCAACACTAAATTACTGTGGTAATTACAGTAAACACATACGTTGCACAATTTGTTGCATAGAAAGATTTTGATTGTGTGTGTTTAAGGCAGGGATTGAACAATTTCATAGAGCTTTGTGGAGTCATGGTTCAAACAATACTCCTGGGATTGCTCACATTATTAATTTATAATAGATTCCTAATTTCTCAGCAAGGCCTGGGTTTTTTAACACTTTGCTTACCCTTCTTAGTAATATCAAAAGACATTGGTCTCCATTCTGCTTTGCCCTTACACTGCAGACACTAAGATGGATCATTTCGAACTTTAAAATGATTGAGCAGGATTAGATTTCCAGACCTGCCTTTTAGCTGCTCTGTGGTTCTGGTTGCAGTAGGGAGGAGCTCTTGACTGTCCTTCCCTGCTGAGTGATTTTAGAGTGATCTTGCAGCGTCACCAACATCTCCTGTAGTGCAGTGGGAAGGTGACTGATTGGCAAACTTCAATTTCAGTCTGGTTTCACCAACTTTCTGTCTGTGCAAAATCCTTCTGAGTGTTTCCTGGGGAAAGACTCCCCACCCCTGGGTTTGGGAAGGAAAGCAAAAGGTTTGGGCCAGATCCATGCATTGGCTGTGAGGAAAGCACCCAGGAAAGGCAGCAAGAGTTGCCCTTGCAGCCACAATGGTGCCAGCAGAGCAGCTTGCCCAGCTCTGAGGTTCTCAGGTTAGGCAGCCCTGCAGAACAAAGGCCGAGAACAGCTGGGAATGGAAGGGGAAGGAGGCCACCTGCAGGAGGAAAAATACTGGGACAGCTGATGGAGCACCAGCAAAAGGCACAGGTGTCTAATTAGAGATGTTATTTCCATAGTTCTCGTTTCATGTGGGGATAACTAGAAACACACACAGCCCAAGACAGCAGACACAAGGGCTTTTAATGTCTCTCCTCTCTCTTTCCCTACAGGATTTGTTTAGGAGACTGGACCAGGCTCGATTCACTGAGCCACTGGAGAACAGCTGCTTCCATTATGGAACCAACTCAGTGCACCTCAGGAAGGTGGTGTCCTACTGGAAAAACCAGTTCAATTGGAAGAAACAAGTTGAAGTCCTCAACAAGTACCCACAATTCAAAACAAAGATTCAAGGTGTGCTGCTTTTTCCCTTAAATTATAACCAGAAACAGATAAATTTTTCTGCAAGGAAAATCTGCAATTGGCAAATAGATTTGTCTGCAATAGATAAATTTGTCTGCAAGGGTGGGAAGAAGGCTCTGGTTGTGTCACAGTGCTTTCCCTCCCTGGCTGCCATAGTCTGGATCCTTGGCATCACTGCTGAAGGAGCAGGGAACTCCTTGGCTGTAACTGAAGCCTTCAGGACAAGGAATGACAAATGGAATTCCCTGTGCATGAGCAGCCTGTCAGCTGGTGTTAGCAGGAGCCAAGCACGAGTGTTTGGAAGCAGAAGAGGATCTTAAGCTGTACACATGTTCCCTGCCTTGCATGCAGCCATGCAAAAACTGCCACAGATGTCTCCTCGTGCTCTGTGGAGCTGCCCAGCTGCTGCTGTCACAGTGAAGCATCAGCCTGGCAGCCCTCCTCAGCCTGGCAGGGCAGATGTGCTCTGCTGCACCTCTTCCAGCATTCCCAGGCCCAGGAGAGCACAATGCCTCTCCCCTGGGGTCGATGTGCTGCCAGCTGTGAGGGAATGGTTTCTCTTCATTCATTCTTTCCAATGAGCTCCTTCAGTCAAGGTGTGCTGGTGCTGGAGCTGGGTCAGGCTGGGCTTTTTGAAATGTCTGATTTGGGGTGGTGCTTGGGTCCAGTTGTAGCTCTAGAGATCAGCAATTGTCTCCCATGATGGCAAAATTTAACCTTAACAGGTATTTTGTTCTGTCTTTACTTGCACCCATAATTGTGTGTTATTTCAAAAGGTGCAGTTTGCCATGGTATTTTAAATGGATCTAGGACAATAAATGGTGCTACATAGTGGTTAGAGCTTAAAGCACTTATTTAAATGATGGTTAGTGCTGAAAAAGATAAAACCAGAAAGCCTTCCCTTGAAAAAGAAGAAAAAAGCCCCATCTGAGACAAGAAAGGGAGAAGCAGCTAAGGACAATGCACTATGTATAGCAATGGGAAGGGAAACTTCAGGCTTGGGAAAGATTACAGAGAGCAGATATGAAAAGACAAGGTCAAACATGCTGTGTATCAGATTCCTACCTTCTGTCACCACTTGAAAGCTTTTCAGAGAGTGCAGAGATTCACAGAAGTGTCAAGGATGGGGAAATCTCAAGTCAGTGAAAGATGGTGGGATTGCTGGTGAGCTGGAGTTGATGTGAGCAAAACATGCTTAAAGACACCAAGAAATGAGGAATTCAGGGAACAAATTCCTGTTTCCTGGAAAACAAAGCCCTGAGTTAGTTTGAGGGAGAGCAGCTCACCTGAAGCAGCTGGTGCAATGCTGTGTGAAGATTTCAAAATGGAAACCACACTGCTGATTTTGCCTTTTACTGGTCAAACTGGAGACTGGTACTAGAATAGAGGCTCCTGGTTTGGTTTATTCACTTAAAGAGATACTGAAAGCTTTGGACAAAGGGTGGGAAAGAACTACAAAAATGAACACTTTAACTGTCTTTTAGGAGGCAATTTCAAATCCTCAGTTTGGCATGATTGGTTTATCAGCAGTTAAGCTGTGTGACCTGATTACAGGAGGCATCCACAGACAGAGAATATTTAGTGAAGGCTTTTAAAATTCCTTTTGTGCAGCATCTAGAGTCAGTGGCTGGGGACAGAAGCCAGACATATTCAAATGGAAAGTAAGGCATGCACAAAATGAGGAAAGTGATTCATGCCCCCAGACAAACAGCTGCACCTTGTGATGGATTCCCTATCTCTTGGTGCCTTCAAGCTGCAATTGCAGGCCTTTCAGGAAGAAAAATCTCTGGCTGACTGAAGCCTCTCCTGTGCCATGTAGGGACATTTGGGTAAAATTTAAGGGCATTTGGACTAAATGATGTAATTGTCTCCTCTGCCTGCAAGCTGGGTGAGTCACTGTGTTACCGTTGGTAGATTGCTTCACTTCTATGTCTTAATTTGCCAATTTATTTTAAAACAGAAATAGCCAACCCCATTTGGCTGCTGTGATGCTTAATTGCCCATTATGAAGTACTTTAAGGTCCTTGGATAAATGTATGCAGAGAGGTGCAGTGTGTTTGCATGCTCACCAAAAAAAAAAAGACAGGAAAAAGCTTTATTCCTAATCTGTTCTGTGATTTGTTTCAGTGTCACGGTAAATTTGGCTGTGCTAATTAATGATTTTACTTTTACAGGCATTGATATCCATTTTGTTCATGTAAAGCCTCCTCGTTTGCCTGAAGGCCAGGCTGCAAAGCCACTATTGATGGTTCATGGTTGGCCTGGCTCATTCTATGAGTTTTACAAAATCATCCCCCTGCTGACGGATCCTGCAAGCCACGGCCTCGGGGATGAGCACATCTTTGAAGTCATTTGCCCATCCATCCCTGGTTATGGCTTCTCAGAAGCACCCCACAAGCAAGGTATGACACAGGAGAAGAAATTGAACCCCCACAAGCCCAGCCTCACAGTGAGACTGTAACTCTTCTGTTGGAAAAACAGCAGCTCCTGCTCCACACCTCTTGTTTTCCCAGTGAGGAAACAGAGATCTGTGTGTCCTGTGGAATGAGGGACATAAGGGGGTGACTTCAGGTGACATCACTGGCTAGTTCCTGGAGCAATGAAGTTACAGCTCAAGAGCTGTAATTGCATCCCTGAACTGTGAGTGAGCAGGCAGGGGAAATTTAATTTATTACTGTTCCTTTTTGGTGTTTTGCATCCATATTCAACAGCATTGAGAAGGAAGGGTTGAAACAAAGCAGTTCTGGTGTCCCCATGGCAGATTGCAGCCAAATACCTGCTTGCTCATCTTGTGCTCTGAGTTATACAAACACAAACTCCAGCAAATTGAGGAGGTGGTGTTTAAAGGGACACTGAGTTTATTATTTAATTGCATGTGCAGATGTGGAGAAGGTTGGGTGTGGTATTTGCTGGGTCCCCAGGATGAAGGACGAATTGAGAATCTGACTCCATGTCCTTAGAAGGCTATTATATTATATTATATTATATTATATTATATTATATTATATTATATTATATTATATTATATTATATTATATTATATACTATATTAAACAATAGAGAAAGAATACAGACAGAAAGCTTAACAAGATAGTAATTAAAAACTCCTGATTGCTTTCAGTGTCCCAACGCAACTTGACTGTGATTGGTCATTAAGTAAAAACGATTCTCCTGTTGGATAAACAATCTCCAACCACATTCCAAAGCAGCAAAACACAGGAGAAGCAATCAGATAATTATTGTTTTCATTCTTCTCTGAGGCTTCTTAGTTTCCCAGGAGACGAAATCCTGGCAAAGGGATTTTTCAAAAAATGTGACAGTGGCAGTTGGGTTTGCTTTTCTCTGCTTCCCTGGTTTTAAGTATCTGCTTTAAGTATCTGAGTATTCTATTTTAAAAACATCTTTTATGACTGAATTGGACAACTGAGTTAAAAGTACTGACTACATTTTAGTTTGGTGCAGCAGCAATTCACTGATGGATTTTATTAAAAAACCCCACAATTTTCGTGGTCAGCATTCAGAGCAGTGGAGACGTCTGCAACAAAGGCTGGAGTTTGTTCTCCTCATGGATTCTGCTTGCTCTCTGTGCTTGGATGCTGAACAAGGGGTTGCAGACAGTCAGGCAAGAAGAAAGGGACTTGTAGCTTCTGAGGAGCTGGAACATTGCCTTGATGTGGAGAATCAGTGCTGCAGGGTCAGAAGTGTGGGTGGAATTAATGCAACAAAAGTCTTCTTTTCTTTAAATGCAGACTTCAATTCCGTGAGTGCTGCTTCTGTTTTTTATGAATTGATGCTCAGACTGGGATTCAATGAGTTCTACACCCAGGGTGGTGATGCTGGCTGTGTCATCTGCACCAACCTGGCCCAGATAGCTCCCAGGTGAGTACCCCTTGGTGCACTCTTTTACTCTGAATAGTGAATAGTTATTTCCTGTGCACTTGGGAGCTCCTGCCCAAGTCCTTGCTGTGTAGGTGTGGCATTCACATTTTCTGAAAAATCCTTTTGCCCAGGATTTTTTCTCCTGGGAAGGTGAGAAGCCTCAGAGAAAAGGAAAACAAGTTCTTATCTCCTTTGCTTCTCCTGTGTTGTGCTCACATGTGGAAGGTGTTTGGAGATTGTTTACCCACAGGTGGTTGTTTCATTAGTTTCTGCTGTGAGTTGTTTTCACTCATTGGCCAATTAATGCCAAGCTGTGTCGGGGCTCTGGAAAGAGTCAGGAGTTTTCACTATTATGTTTTTAGCACTCTGTAAGCATCCTTTCTGTATCCTTTAGCATAATTTATTATGGTATTCTTTAATATAATATAGTATCATAAAAGAATAAATTAACCTTCTGAGAACGTGGAGTCAGATGCATCATTCCTGCCTTCGTCGAGGCACCCAGCAAATACAATTTGTAGGTTCTCCCTTTGGTGCTCAGTGTTAAGCAAAGATCCAAAATTACATAACTTTAGTTTATATTCAATGTTTTTTCTTTCAAACAGTTGTGCAGCAGTTTGGTAGTGGCCTTACTACAAAAAGTCTGGAGAGGGACAAGTACTTTGAAAGGAAAAAAAAGGAGGATTTGTGTGTGCTGATTACTGAGAGTTGTCCCTTTGACTTGTCATTTTTGTGTGAAAAGCCACACTACAAAGGGCAGCTGAGGTCATGATGTAATTAACAGGCTGGAATTCAAGGATGTCCATTCCTGTTAATAACATTTTAAATATTACAGGTCACAGCACCAAGCCTGGCAGAGTTCAAGAAGCGTTTGGGCAACGCTCTCAGGCATATTGTGTGATTTTTGGGACTGCTCTGTGAAGGGCCAGGAGCTGGACTTTGATGATCCTTGTGGGTCCTTTCCAACTCAGGATAATCTATGATTCTAAATACACCAACTTTGAACTTTTGCTAACTTTTTGTTAATTTGTGTATGGTTTGTTTTTGTCTTTAGCCACGTGAAAGGTCTCCATTTAAACATGGTCTTGGTTTCGAAGCTGGGGCTCTCTCACCTGCTCTCCATCCTGCTGGGCCGGTACTTCCCGGGGCTCTTTGGATTCCAGGATGAAGATGTCAGGAGGATGTTCCCCTTCTTGAAGAAATGGCTCTACAAGATCTTGTCTGAGTCTGGCTATGCTCACATACAGGCTACAAAACCAGATACTGTTGGTAAAACAAACAAAAATAACCCCACAACCTTTTTTGAGCTCAGAATACTTAAATCTCTTAACTTTAGTTGTACTTTCATAGAAACAAAATGTTCTGCTTAGAATATGCAGAAAATAGGGGGGTTTTGCAGTGTATCTGCACATCCAAACTGAGCATGCTCCAAGTGCCACTAACCTCATTTTCCAATTTTCATAAATAAAATAGATTGTTTCATATTTTTCCACTTCTGCTATCACTGGGGACTGTAATTTCATTTCAAATGCAGCTCTGCTGAGAGCAAAAGATAATTTCTTCTCAGAGAATGGTTCACATTCATGTAATGTAAACTACAAGAAGCTTTTAGCTGTCTCAGCACACAATGTAGCTTATTTATTATAGTGATAAGTAATACCTGAGAAGTAAAATAAAATTTCACTTTCACTCCTTGTTCTGAATTACTTGCAGACTTTCAAGGAAAAAAAAATTGTAGCTGTGAGTGTTCTTTCTACATGAGCTAGTCACTCAGATGGTTTAACTGCTTTAAGTATCTGAGTATTAAGTGTTTCTATTTTAAAAACATCTTTTGTGACTGAATTGGACAACTGAGTCAAGAGTGCTGACTACCTTTTAGTTTGGTGCAGCAGCAATTCACTGATGGATTTTATTTAAAATATAGCTAAGGGAAATATTTCTTAATGGTTTTCCATAAGCTTACCTACAGAGGCAGGTATGTTCTTAAAATGTGTACGCAAAAGGATAATTGTATGGATTTAAAAAAAATTTGCTTCTGTTGAGTTTTGGTTCCTAAAAATTGCCATTCTTTTGTGCTTTAGGAAAGAGAGGGAAGCTGATATCTGAAAGATGCTTAAGCCATGCTCCTTCTCAATCAGAATTCTGGCTGATTCTTGTCCTTACCAGCCAGGTGTGGTCTGTCAGAGCAGACTGGGAACCAGCAGCCAGTTCATGCTTTGGGAGCTGGAGCATTTCTGCAGTTCTCCTAAGGACAAAGAGAGGATCAGGGCAGTGGCAGGTTCCTAAAAGGGGAAAAACACTCTGAAGGAATTTCTGGCAGAAATGCCTACGTTCCAAGTGCTCTGAGGATCAATGTCAGCCTTTCTCTATGTAAACAGATGCACTCTACTCACAGTGAGTAGCTGAGAACAGGCTTGTCGTGTCCAGTACATCTGGAAAGTGCTCAACAGAACTTTTTCAAACACTTGCTATTGCACTTATCAATAGTGATTGCTTAATAATTGAAATCCCAGTGTCATGTTTAAATAGCAATTACTGGTGAACTTGTGCCAGCTGCAGTGTTAGGCACCTTCCTGGAAGGCTGGGTTGCAAGGGTGGAACTTCAAATTCCACCAAATTCCCAAATTCAGCTTCAAAGCTGTTCCCAAGGAACTTGCTGTTCCCTTTCCTCGTGTTTTCCTGAGAAGCTGGGACAGTTTACAGGCCCTGTATTTCACAGCACTAGGATGTGGGATCAAAGTTCCAAGTGCAGGTGTGTTCTTTCTGTCCAAGAAAAGCAAACTATAAAATCTATAGGAAGGCTTGTTCTCCATGAAGGCAGTTTGCTGTTGCTAATCAGAAGATGGACCATTTAGCAGAGCCTTGCTGTTCCTTAATGACTTTCTAATAATCCTTAAAATGTTTTTGCTGTTAGATAATGCTGCAAATCCTCCTGGTCATGTGTAGGCATGTGGGGTTTGGCTCTGTAATTCTGTTTAATACATGACAACTTCCAGATTAATGGAAGCAAACCCTCCTTGGCACATAGAGCTTAATCTTATTAGCTTACCAGAAAAAAAGAAAAGCCAGCAGAAATCCAATACTGTTACATCAGTTCAAAAAATGTTCAGTGTGAGCTAGTGTGGAGCCTGCTCATTTGCAGACACTTCCAGTTTATGATTTGGCATTAAATGGCTCCAACTCATTGTATTATTTTATTTATTTAAGAAAGCAGCTGATGGAACAGCTTTGTAAAGTTACATCCTCTGCATTGCAACAGGCAGCTTCTCTAACATTCTGAGTTCTGTAGCTGGATATCAGTTACAGGTAAATTTCCCTCCTCCTTTACAGGCTGTGGTTTGAATGACTCTCCTGTGGGACTGGCTGCATACATCTTGGAGAAGTTTTCCTCGTGGACTGATATGGAATTCCAGAACCTAGAGGATGGAGGGCTAGAGAGGTGAGCCCTTTCTCCATTTTGCATGGGGTCACTAAGCCCAGGGTCACAGCTGAGGAGGTTTGTCTGAAGTGTCACCTCAGCCCTCAGGGAGCCTGGAGTGACCACAGCTGGTGCTGCACACTGAGAGGCAAACAGGCCATGCAGGCTGAGGGATTCCCTGCCCACTTCCATCCCCTAGGAAGGAAATACACCCTGCAACCCCAGGATATTAAAAACTGGGGAAGAATCTCATTAGGACACAAAATCCAGAAGTTTAACCCACATTAAGGTGCTGGCAGCTCATGATTCATTGTAATACTAACAATTAACTCCCTGTGGATTGGCTTTGGATTGATTGTTACAGCTTCATCTACCTACCATTTGCTAATAGAGGATTATGTTTAGTGGGCAGCAGAAACCAGAGCTGAAATCCCCTTTGAGAACTACCTGGCAGGAATGGAGAGAGGGGACATGCTATGGAAAGCAGATTTGCTTGGAATGTTTGCCCTGCACACAGCTAATAACTTTATATGAAACATGCACTGTTTACAGCACATGTTGGTGTGTCAGGGCTCTGTTGAGGGCTCACAGTAGCATTTCAGATTCTCATTAATAAATGGCACAAGCTGCTGCATGTGCTGTTCTGCTCCCACCCTACCAGTCTGTGGGCAGGAGAGACAGCCATGCTGGAGCATAAGGTGCTTGTTGGAACCTCTTGTATTTGCTTTATACCTTGTATTTGTTTTATATCTCTTGTATTCATTAATTTCCTCCCTTCATCTTTCCCTCCCTTCCCAGACGAAGGGAGGAAATGATGAATCTGACTCCATGTTCTTAGAAGGCAAACTTATTATTTTATTACACTAGAATATATTAAAGGCTACTAAACTAAACTATACTAAAGAATACTAAAAGGACACAGACAGAAGGCTAAAAAGATACTAAAGAAAAACTTGTGACTCTTTCCAGAGCCTTGACACAGCTTGACCCTCATTGCCCATTAAGTCAAAACAATTCACATGAAACCAGTGAAACAATCACCTGTAGGATAAACCATCTCCAACCACATTCCAAAGCAGCAAAACACAGGAGAAGCAAATGAGATAAGAATTGTTTTCCTTTTTCTCTGAGGCTTCCAGCTTCCCAGGAGAAGAATCCTGGGCAAAGGGATTTTTCCAGAAAATATGACTGCCACAGAATCTGCCTTCCATGTAGGAGTTAAAATGTGACATCCCAGTTTGTGTCTGACAGCCTTTAGCATCCTTAATTGGTCACTGGCAGACAGAAGGGGAGTAGTAACTTCACCTCTCCACTCTTAACCACTATTTCCTATAATTTTTTTTCCCCTTACAACCAAACCAAAGTCAAGTCCCTGCAAATCAGTTTTCAGTTCTAATTAAGCAATCTCTTGGGCTTGCCTTTCCAGGAAGTTCAGCCTGGATGACCTGCTCACCAATATCATGATCTACTGGGTGTCAGGCTGCATTGTCTCCTCCATGCGTTTCTACAAGGAAAACCTGCAGAAGGGGATAGGCACACAGAAACATGAAAAGTAAGGGTGCCTTCTTCTCTTTAAATATTTTAATTTTACAGTTGCATGCCTTATAGATTCCTGAATGCTGAGGAAAAACACAGTTCTCTCTCAGTATTCCTCTGCAAGACATGGCAGGCAGTTGATGTACTGTGCTGTGCTTGCAAAACACGGTGCTTAGGCAGGAATCCTGAGCCCTCAGTGAGGAGATCTGACAGGAGGCACTGCTTGAGGGCCTCCCATTCATGGTGTAGCCATCTACTTCCCGATTTTATTTCGGTTACTAAATCAGTCTGTGACTGAGTCACACAGTCAGTTTTGTTAATTTAGTTGGTTGTAGTTTTAGTACTTTTCTGGACACAATTTTCTTGTTTCTGCAAAAGGCTCAAGTCCTTCCTTTGGAAACAGCTTCAGCCTGCTGACAAACTGCATCCTTGAGAAGTCAGTGAGACTGATGTGCCTGCTGCTGCCCAGACTCTTCAGGCAGCAGCTTGGTTGCATGCACATGTGTCAGCCTGAGTATGAGTGAAGGTTTAAATCTGCCCTGAGGTATTTGCACCCCCAGCTTAGTGCCATGCTATTTATTTAGCTGTGAAATGATGCTCCCAGGAAGCTGACTCAGTTCCTGAAGCTGTTGTGGCAATGCTGTGGGCAATGTCTTGCTCTGGTTCTGCCTGCATTGGATGAGCTGTGTGAGCTTCCAAGTGCCCAGAGGACAGAGCCTCAGAGTCTTGTGACAAGTTCTGACCCCAGCCTTCCAGTGGCTACATGCCCAACACTTTTGTATCTACATTTTAAAGTCTGTCACTTCTGACAAGGCAGTTTATGTGTATGGGATATTCAAACCTAGAAAATGTGGCTCTTAGAACAAGCACAGATCATTCACACCCCTCAAATCCAGTTGCTTCCTTACACTTCCTAATGTGAAGAATGTTTTGTAGTGTGCATTTATGCCAGTTTAAAGCAAGAGTCAATTTACAGGGTATAGACCCACGTACAGAAATGTTGTTTCTGAGCTAGTCTAGATTATCAGCATTCTTCTCTTCTCCCTCCCATTAAGTAATTATTCTCCTGCCTACCCTCCAGTTGTCCTGCCAGGCTTAATATATTTAAGTGGTTATCTCCTCTGTAAATCTCTCTCCAGCTCTTATAAAATTGTGTGCTTGCCCATCAATTTGAGCCCTGTGTGCAGCAAGAGAAATTTCCTGCTCACCACCTCCTAGGGCTCTCCTCTCCCTTTCCTTGCTTCTGAGCCTCATGCCCCGGATCCCCTGCAAAATTGCCTTAATATCACTGTATGCAAAATAAAAGAGAGGTTTTTCCCCCAGGAATTATAGTGTTGTCTTCAGTTTTAGGATCTGGAAGTCCAATTTTTAATGCCTAACAAGAGTGTGCCCAACTGTTCAGGAACATTTCCTTGGGACTTCTGATTTGTTGCAAATTTAAATGATTGGAAGATGACAGTGATTCTCTCTCCTCCCTCAGACTCACAGTACAGGTACCCACTGGCATTGCTGCCTTCCCTAATGAAATCCTGCACATACCCCAGGCTTGGGCCAAGAAGAAATACACCAACATTGTCTCCTTCCACTTCATGCCTCGGGGTGGCCACTTCGCAGCTTTGGAGGAACCTGAACTTCTTGCCAAAGATATTCTGCAGTTTGTGGACAAAGTAGAGAAAGAGCAACTCTGGAAAAAGAAAGGGGAATAACTTCCCTAAGAAACAGGAGGGTAATTACTTTTAGCTTAGCACATGTACAGGGCTCACTTAGTCTGCTGTAATCCATGTAATTAGATTTTATTGTTGACAAGATGTGAGCAAGGACAGAAAGAAAAATACAGTGTATACTGCCATGGGGACCAACAGATTTTGGGCTGGTTTTTTTTGTTCAGCTAGGCTAAGAAAGTAGCATGAAGAGTGCTTGAGTATCTTCTGAAACATGTTCTGTAGTATTTTTGACTCTTGCTTTGAGATTGAAAAATAGACGTCACAACTACCAACGTACCTAGTAACACTAAAATTGTTATGAAAGGCTTTTTTTTTTCATGGCAGCAGTAAAATTTGAGTTGCTGTGAGTATGAAGTTCCTCACATAAAGAGCAGGGAGCAGCCTGGCAGGACCTAACTTGCATGAGTGCATTAATCAATCAATCAGCATTGATGAGCTTACAGTATCTTTAAACTGCCTTCTGCTGGCTGCCTTTCCCTTCCAGCCTGGGCTGTGAAGGAGCTGGACTGCCCTGTGCCAGGCTCCTGGGAGATGTGAGGAGCTGCTGAAAGACACAGGTGCCTGTAGCTCAGCCCAGGAGGTGGGGCTGGGTAGGAGTAATTGCAGCCCCAGCTATTTCTGCACTGAATTTGTACTCTTAAATCATAGCCCTAGGTAGGCCCAACACACTGTGGCTTTGCACTGTTTTAGCAGGGTGTTGTAAATACCTCTTGCTAAAGGACAAAAATATTGTTAATTCAAAATTAAAAGTGAATTCAATTTATGAATAATTTATGATTAATCTGTGTGATTGTGTGATTCTTTTAATTCTTTTGACAACTGAGATTTTGCTTGGTACCAGCTAGGAGAATCATCAGCTCAGAACTATCATTTCTGTACCCCATCTGCCACAGAGGTCAGATTGAGGACAAACTGCTCAAAGAAAACTGAAGGGCTGTATGGCTTTACCAGCTCCTGTCCCTGGTGTGTTCAGCTGAGCTTCAAACAGGTCTTAAGCCATCTCCAGATGACTGATGTCAGTGTGGTTTTGTTCTCCAGTCACTTCTGATGTCCTTCTCTACTTCTGAAAGCACAGGGAAATACAATCTACCAGTAACACTTGCATGGATTAGTATTATTTCACAACATCAATTGAAATGGAAGCTAAGATCAGGAGCTCAGCAGCTCCAGGCTCCATCCCACAAGGCTTTAGATTCAAGCACAGTTTGTTTCACAGGAGGCAATGGACTCTCCTGCTGGGCACATTCAAATCCTAGTGCTGAGAGCCACCACCACCAACCCTGACAGAAAATCATCAGAGCAGATGGGCTGGGAACCAGCCTGGATCAGTTTTCTGAGCAGAAGTGAGACCTCTTGCTCCCTTTCCTCTGCCTCCTGCACCTCTGAGTAAAGCAGAGGAGCTCTCAGCTCTCCCTGCTAGATTTGATCCTCAAGCTGTTCTTAGTTAAGACAGCTACTTGTTTCCAGAACAGTAGTGAGCACTAATTCCATGCTTAATTGGAAATGCTTTCATTCAGTCAAAATTTGTCTTCACATTTGCAAAATGGTGTGTGATGCATGCCAGTCTGTTTTGAGCACTCTGGAAGAAAATACAGAATCATTCCCTTTTAAATAGACTCTCTGTGGAGAAGATCCTTCACAGACTTGTTTCAGAAGCAGTATGGTGAAAGAGAGATCCTTATTCAGGAGGAACTGGCTCACCTCTGACAATACAGGTACCACTGCACACCCTCCTGCACAAGTCTGTCCTGCCCAGCTCTGCATAGGGTTTGATAAGCTGCTGTCTGAAAGAGAGACAAATCTGGACTTAAAAGATCTAGATTTTAGGAGTTTAAAAATGATAACTAAGTACCTGATATATAGCAGAGTTTGTTCTGAATTTTGGTGTCACACTTCTCAAACCTTAAGCCCACAGCTATCAGCAGCTGTTACTCATCACCTGGTTACCTACAGTTAGATAAAAATGCAATGAAATGCCATGACAAAGTGAAAAAGTATGAAATTAGCTATACAGCAGCTGTAAAACCTGCCCTCAGTTCCTCTTCCCTTTTCAAAATAACCTCTGGTTTAGCAAAACACAGCCAATCCCACCACCTCTAGTGCAAGTTTAACACTAAAGCACTGTCTGTGAGCCAGTGGTAGCATCTGCATCTCATCCTGCAGAGAGCAACTCCCCCAGGAACCTGAAATCAGATTTGACAAGTACCTTGAGTGAATCCAGATTCACTTCTGATACTCTGGTACTGGCTACAGGCAATTCTTTGGTACAGATAACCAAAAATAGTTTTAATATTTAATAGTTTTCACATTTCTGTTAGCAAGTAGCTGCATATCAGACTATTGCAATAATAATAATAATAAGCAGTACAAAATGAGTCCCTGCTCTGTTACAATTGTTCCTGTTTATGTCAGCCGGCTGAGGACCTGCCATTCAGGCAGGGAATTTTCTCTAAAAATGCTAAATGTGATGCTCTTGGGCTGCCTGAGCTGTTTCTTGGGGATAAGGCTCTGAAAGAATAGCTACAGCCTTCAGTATAACACAGAAAATGGTGACACTTTGATGCTCAAAACATTTTGTTTTGCTCCAGGGCCACTTCTTAATGAAGCTCCAATTTCTGGTCCAAAATTGCCCCAAAGTCTCTGCTCAAAGAAACTGCTGTCCTAAAAGCCCTGCCACATTCAATTGCTCCAAAACACGCATTTATCCCACGCTGAAACCAGAAGCAGCTGACCTAGACCCTGCTTTTTAATTATCCAGTCATAGCTCATTAAAAGTCTTGATAAGGGGTTTGGAACCATGGAGATGCCACTGAAAATAAACAACTTGTACTCTTCCTCCCCAGCTGAAGTGCTTTGAAAAGTTTCTGCTTCTGGTATGGAAAAATACAAGTAAGGTCATAATCTTCTCATACAGCTCCAGATAAACAAACTCCCACTACAACTAATTTTGACTTCTGATTTTTAAACTGTAAACCATAACGTCCTGAAAAATCCAAGTCACCATATGCAGCCTTTGGACATCTTACACAACAAGACAGGACTTCATATACATTAAACAAAAGTGTCAGGCATTACTCAGATCGTGAATGGAAAAAAATATGAATAGAAATCACACTTTCATAAGAAAAAGGAAGTGAAACCATCATTTGATGTAAAATAGGATGTGAAAATAGCCTAGCATCAGAGTTAGCTCTAGATCCATTGAAGGGTACCAATCATCACCACTGAGTCAGCTGCAATTGTTCAGGGGCAGGTCTGAGGTTCAAGGCAGTCAATCAAATGCACAATTCTGTTTTACAGCAAGTGCAATGCATAATATGCACTAAATGAAGACACATTTTTGTCTGCAAGAGCAGTGGAAAGCTCCTCCTGGTGCTGTGGAAAGAGACAAGGAATAAATCCATATTGATTTCAGTGTAGCTTATTTTAAACCACTGAGAAATGATGCTGCTTGTTTTACTTGCTGTAATAGCACTTCAAGGAACATAAGTCACACTAAAACTGTCTTGCTCAGGATTAGTTTTCTTTCATGGAAGAAATACCCTGTGCAGTGCCAGACAGCCCTGATGGTGTTATGCCAGTGCTGCTGGAAGAATTAGCCCCATTACAATTGTCAGCTGTCTTCTGGAGAGCAGATATTTATAAACAGGTCTGTGCTGAGTGGTGACAGCTCCTTCCCCTGGCCAGGTGTGCTCCAAAGCTCAGGCTTCCAAATCCCTTCCTGGCTGGGTTGAAAGATGCTGAGGATGATGGTGCCCTCCCTGTGTTTAATAATTGAATGTCTGATGTTTTGAGGATATGATGAGCAATAAAAGAGATGGAAATGATGAGTTTCATCACCTTTTAAATGAAAGATAATCCTTTGCAGCAGTAATTCAAACCACAAACTGATCAGAGGGAGTGCAGCACAGGGAAGAGGTGAGCAGAAACACCAAGGGATAAACTCCCAAGAACCCAAAGAACCAAGAGTTCTTTATCTCTTTTTTGCATTGTTGGGTGGTTTTGTGTACAAACACATTTGTACCCCACGAGTTCTAGGAATTCTTGTACACGCTTCAGGGAGCTGAGGTCCAGCCCTGCATTTTTGTCTCAGTGGAAATTTTTTCATCACCCCAAGTCTTTTGTGGCTCACAAAGCTTTTTGCACTGATCAGAAGGGAATTATTAATACTTCAGAGAAACCAGAGGCAAAGAGGGTTTGAGCAATATCTCACACAAACTGAGCAGAAGAACACAGTGCAGAACACAGATGATGTCCTTCTCCTAATTTCATCACTCTTTAAAGATAAATAACTTAAATGATTCCTCTTAAAGGTGCTCAATTGATTTATTTCTCAATTTTTGCCCTTTTCTTCCCAGCAGATTCTGATTCCCTATCTCAAAAGGGAATTATTTTTTCCTATTTCAGGAACATTTTTGAAGTTACAGATTTAAAATATGAAAGAACAAGATAACCCTACTTCATTCTCTAAATCTAGAATTCTATCATAAAGAATTTCAATGCCTGCAACCAAATTATGGTACTTAGCAATTCTTTAAATCACTTTTTTCCAGTTTCATCTGTGGGGAGAGCTGCTGGTTTTATTTCTCTGTCTCTGTAGATGGAGGGGAAAAATACTGATAATTTGCCTTAGGGAGAAAAAAACCTATTTAGAATTCCAAATATGTTTTGACATGGAACATCTTCACTTGAAAGAAGCAACTTAGTGCTTTACATTTCAGGAGAGCAGGCTATAAAAAAGCCAATCAGTCTGAAAATCCAAGCACAAACCAGCAGCAAATGCATGAAAGATTTTCCATAGAGAAGGAAGGCCAGCTGTGTACAAAAATACATATCTCTTACATTTCCTCAGCTCTCAGTCTTCCTCCTGTACAGCAATTAAAAAAAAAATTGAATGAACATCTAAGAAGCACAACAGATAGGTACCTTTCAAAACCAGTCCCTAAGTTCTCTCACAAACTTTCACCCTTTTGGGAGGTTCACAACCACACAGCAGCAATGATGAGACAGCAACAAAATCTGGCTCCTGTTTTATTTAGGAGCATCTTATGACATACCATACATTGGACTTCTAGAATTCTATTTTAAACATCACTTTTGAGAAGAGTGCTTTCATTAATTATTAACCAGCACTTAGTTAACCACTGAGTCTGGGAGCAGATACAAAAATTTCCCTCTTTCCTTCTTGGCTATTTACAGCCCCACCTATTTCCACTTGAAGTTGTATTGGCTGCAGCTGAGATGCTCCATTCTAACCAACAGGATGTGGGACACAGAGCAAATGCCAGGACTTCACCCAAGAACCAAAAAATTATAGAGAAGAATGTTCCATTATAATGACACAATCTTCAGTCTCTCCACTTTTAGCTGTTTCCTTTCTGTTTTTATCCTTCAGACAGCTGTCCTCAGAAAGAAAAAAACCAACTTCTGTACTTCTGAAATATCTGGAACAGGCACTTGCAGCTGTTACAGACAGGTGACAAGCAGAATCCTTCAAGAAGTCTTGTCTAGATGTGACAGAGAAGGAATTTGTGAGACCTCTTTCAGATAAGACATGTGACCCTGGCCATCATTTGGAATTAAAAGTGTGCATTTCCTTATATTGTTGCAGTTTTGAGACAATAAAGGGTGTCTTTTCTTTGTAGTCAATAGATTTGGGATAAAGCCTCCTTCTCCCCAAATCTTCTGCCTCTCACCTCACTTGTGCTAAAAGCCAGGTGAAAACTCTGTGGGGTCTGCTGCTTCTGGGATGAAGGAGCAGCAGACTTGAAG